GGGAATGATTACGGAACAAGTTGCCGGTGCACTGACGTGGAGACACCGGCAGACGCTCACACTTGCCCTCCCTCTCTATTCCCGTTCCAACCCACCCATCCCTTGGTAGTTCTTCACATGAGATTGATTTAACATGCCCCTGTCATTCATTCCCATGTATTTCTTTTGTGTGGTACTTGTCACATGGTTTCAAACAGTGAGTGGCAGCGGTTTCAACTGGCAGACTGTTGCAGAAGTTACTCTTGCCAACCTTGTTATAATCCACAGTGAACTCTTTTGCTCCACGGGAGGTAGAAAAGCCATTGTCCATAGCAACAAGTGCCATTGAGGTGTCTTTATTCTCAAATTATGAAGACGAGGTCCAGCTGAAGCCAATAAATATCTGAATCTTTAAACATGTTATTCACAGAAAGATTGAGCATCAATTGAACGTGCCATTCACGGAAACCCTTGTGGTTTGATTGCTGGTAATTTTAAGGACATTATTCGGGCTCTTGTGAAATTAACCTTGCTATTACATGTCCATTGAAAATGAGACCAATATAATGTTCCTCGCATGTCCATGTCAATTATTGCAGGCTCAGATTTCGCGGCAGTCATTACATATTCGCCCTCATTTGGTATTCCCTTCACTGGCCATTAGGCTGATGTGATTAGCACTGAAAGTCTGGCAATAATAACTGCCACTTAAACCTTTCAACATTACTGGAGGTCTGTCGTATTGCACAGTTTTAAGGTGCAAAACAGCAATATACATTGGAGCAGTGAGCACCCAAGAGGTCAGTAATTCACTTTAATGACTTGAGATATAAATAACTAATGTAACTAAAAAATAAAAAAATAATTTCTTTGCAGAGGTTGATGATGAGCCTGAAACTGTATTTAATTTTTTCCTCCCAGATACAGACCCAGCATCAGTCTGGAAGTTACATTTGTCATGATGTTGTAAAAATGACCTCCTAAAAAGAAGCTCCTTTTATTTTAAGTGTTCCAGTTTCAGGCATGAAACATTTTGTTTAATAACTTGAGAAATATATTCTTGTCAAGATTTTCTTGCATTTTCTTAGCAACATACAACATTTTCTGGCTGTGCTAAAAGAAGGAAACAGTTCTGCACAGATGTTTTTTTAATGCAAATTATTAATGTAATAATTAGTGTAAATTACAAAAATATTTTCCTTTTCTGATTTCTGTTGACTGAAATAGAAAAAATAATACAAAAATAAAGACAAAATTATTTTCGATTATGAACTGATAAATGTGCTACTGATATAATAACCCAGATTAAACCAGGGTTATTATAGTTGACTAGAACTAAAACAAACTAAAACTATAAAAAAAGATCAAATAAAACAAGTGTTAACTGAAAAAAGTATTTTGTCAGTGTGTGTGTGTGTGTACAGTGGGGAAAAAAAGTATTTAGTCAGCCACCAATTGTGCAAGTTCTCCCACTGTTTTTTTGTATTATTTAGTTAAACAGTTTATTTAAAACGTAAAAAATAACAAATTTAGAAATATATGTACAGTATATTTTATATATTTTCACAGTCTGTAAATGAATAATTTTTGCAGTTTTTATAAATAGTCTGCATGGACTGGGGAATCTTTGCATTGTGAAAAGCCACCTATTTCAGAAGAGGAAAGCCGTTCCTGTTTTCCATCACATCACC